AGATCTAATTTGTATGCGTTGTCATTGATCTTCTCAAGCACTTGAAACGGTCCATCTCCCCGTAGCAACAACTTTGATTTTCTTTGTCCTGGAAACCGCTCTTTTCTTAAATGTACCCAAACCCAATCTCCTGGTTCGAATATAACAATCTTCCTGCCCTTGTTTGCTTGCTCTGCATAGTGCTTACTCTTCTTCTCAATTTGCTCTCGTACCTTTTCATGAAGTGACTTCACCAGCTCGGCCTTCCTCTTCCCATCCAAGCTACCTCGTTCATTCACAGGTAAAGGTATTAAATCCATAGGTATTATAGGATTAAAACCATAAACAATTTCAAATGGAGAAAACGATGTAGTGGAGTGTGTGGCCCTATTATATGCAAACTCTATGAAAGGTAAGCACTCTTCCCAATTCTTCAAATACTTATTAACCACAGTGCGCAATAGTTGTGTCATGGTCCTATTTACTACTTCAGTTTGTCCATCGGTTTGTGGGTGAGAAGTTGTAGAAAATAGTAATTTCGTGCCTAACTTATTCCACAAGACCCTCCACAAGTGACTAAGAAATTTTACATCCCTATTTGACACAATACTTTTAGGTACTCTATGCAAGCGTACAATTTCTTTAAAGAACAAGTATGCGATGTTAGTAGCGTCACCAGTTTTGTGACACGGAATGAAGTGTGCTATCTTACTAAACCTATCCATCACTACAAAAATCGAATCCCAGCCAGTTTTTGTCCTAGGCAAACTTAACACAAAATCCATTGAGATATCTACCCAAAGTTCACTAGGTACTGGCAAAGGTGTATAAAACCCATGAGGTAAGACCCTAGATTTAGCCTCTTTACAAGTTATGCATTGACTACAAATTCGTTCCACATCAACTTTTATTTTAGGCCAATAAAAATGCTCAGTTAATATGTCTAAAGTCTTTGCTACCCCTAAGTGACCCATTAGACCCCCACTATGTGCTTCTCTAACCAATAATTCACGCATAGAGCAATTAGGGACACATAATTTGTTTTCCCGAAACAAGTACCCCTCATGCTTAAATAACTTATCTACAGCCCCCTTGTGACATGAATTATAAATGTTGGAAAATTCAGAATCATTAGCATACATGTCCTTAATGTACTAAAAACCAAGCAATTTTACACTTAAAGTAGTTAAAAGCACATACCTTCACGACAATGCATCTGCTACTAATTTTCCTTACATTTTTTGTAACGAATGACATATGGAAAAGTTTCTATGAATTCCATTCAGCGTGCACGTCGCTTCTTTAACTTACCTTGACCCCGCAAATGTTTCAGTGACTCATGATCAAAATGAATTACAAACTCTTTTGGCCACAGGTAATACTGCCATGTCTCCAAGGCTCGAACAGTGAATAGAGCTCCTTGTCGTACGTAGGATAGTTGAGAGCTACTCCACTTAGCTTCTCACTAAAGGAGGCTATAGGTCTCTTATCCTGCATTAAGACTGCTCCAATACCTATTCCTAATGCATCACACTTAATCTCGAAAGTTTTGTCAAAGTTAGAAAGTGCTAAAATCGATGCTTTACACAAACAATCTTTGATGATGTTGAATGCATGTTCTTGTTTTACCCCCCATTGAAACCCCACATTTTGCTTGACAATCTCAGTTAGTGGTGTGGTGATTGTGCTAAAATCCTTGACGAAACGCCTATAAAAACTAGCCAATCCATGAAAACTCCTGACTTTGGTTATGCTTTTAGGTGTCGGCCAATCTTTAATAGTTTTTATGTTCTCTTCATCTACCTCTACACCATTAGTACTAACCACAAAGCCTAGAAACACAACTCTATCCGTGCAAAAAGTACACTTCTTAAAATTAGCATAAAGTTGTTCATTTCTCAAAACCACAAGCACACATCTTAAATGTTCTACATGCTCATCAAGATTCTTGCTATAGATTAAAATGTTATCAAAATAAATTACAACAAATTTTCCAATGAAAGCACGCAAAACATGGTTCATTAACCGCATAAAAGTGCTTGGTGCATTTGTGAGTCCAAATGACATGACTAACCATTCATACAATCTATATTTAGTTTTAAAAGTCGTTTTCCATTAATCACCCTCCCTCATGCGAATTTGATGATACCCACTTTTAAGATCAATTTTACTGAAAATACATGCATCATGTAGCTCATCTAGCATATCATCTAGCCTAGAAATTGGGTAACGATACTTTACCATAATGTTGTTGATGGCTCTGCAATCTACGTACATTCTCCAATCTCCATCTTTCTTTGGCACCAGCAACACAGGTACTGCACATTGACTCATGCTTTCCCGTACATATCCTTTGCTCATCAATTCCTCAACTTACCTCTGAAGCTCTATTGTCTCTTCTGGATTACTTCGATAAGCTAGTCAATTCGAAATGACAGCGCCAGGTATGAAATTAATTTGGTGCTCAATTCCTCTAATGAGTGGTAGCCCACTAGGCACATCCTTCGGAAACACGTGTTAAAATTCCTGCAACAAAGAAATAACCAAACTAAGAAGGGATATGTTATGCTCCCCAAAGTTGAGGAGTGATTCCTTATAAGCCAACAATATTATTTGTTGCTTCTTAACTATTGCCTTTTTCAATTCACTCTCTCTCATAAAGAAATTTTGTTTCGACTTTTCTCTCATCTCGAAAGTCTCTCTGTCTTTTCTCTCATGTGGCTCCACTCTCTTTTCCTCTCTATTGGCCACCTCACTATTTTCTCTCCTTTTCCCTAACTCTCTCACTCTCGCTTCTTCTTCATTTTTCAATTGAATTTGGTCCTTATATACTTGTGTCGATGTTAATGACGCAAGATTGATAGACCTCCCATTTTTCTCAAAGCTATACTTGTTTTTATACCCATCATGTATTGCTTTCCTATCGTACTACCATGGTCTTCCCAACAAGATATGCCCCGCATGCATAGGTACAACATCGTAGATTATCTCATCTTGATATCTACCAATGAAAAAATTAATCAACACCCTTTTTGTCACCTTAACTTCCCCACATTCATTTAGCAATTGTAATTTATAAGGCCTAGGATGTTTTAACAGTGTCAAACCCAATTTCTCCACCATGTTAGTGCTAGCCTCATTAGTACAACTACCGCCATCTATTATCACACTACATACCTTGTCATTGATGTGACATCACGTGTGGAATATGTTTTCTCGCTGCTGCTCCAAGTCATCCGCTTTGATTTGACCACTAAGAACTCGCCTCGTGACCGACAACTTACTGTTAACTGCATACTCCGTTGTATCTTCTTCATCAACATCCTCCAATTCTGGCATGTCTGCATAATCACTCTTACTTTCAGTTTCCACTTCCCCGCTGTCTCGCAGAATCATGGTTCTCTTGTTTGGGCATTGAGAAGCAACGTGCCCCACTCCCAAGCAACGAAAACATTTGATATCCCTGTTTCTTGATGACTGTGACTTTACCTTTGGCACGGCTTTGCTAGCACTCTCTTCCTTGCCTCTTGGTACCTCAGTTCTTCCTCTTGCAACAATTCCTTCTCTTTTGTTATTGTCCCACTTCGATTTCCCAGAAGAATTAGAACCCGAATATCCCGATTGGTACCTTGTTGTTCCCTTTGGCTTCAACCGCCTCTCGACCTTTATTGCCACATGTAACATGTCTTCAATTTCCACATAGTGCTGCAATTTCACTGTATTTGCAATGTCCCTATTCAACCCACGCAGAAATCGAGCCATGGTAGCTTCACTATCCTCCTCCACATTTGCCTCAATCATTAGTGTCTCTATCTCTTTATGGTAATCTTCCACACTCCTAGAGCCTTGATATAAATTTTGTAATCTTTGATGAAGCTCCCGGTAGTAGTGAGTAGGTACAAACCTCTTCCGTATTATAGTTTTCAATTCTTCCCATGTATTGACAGGTAACTCCCAATCTCTTCGCCTCAAAGTCACCACCTGATCCCACCAAGTGATTGCATAGTCCGTGAATTCAAGAACTACAATTTTCACATTCTTCTCTCCCAAGCAATTGTGGCAATCAAAGATTAACTCAATTTTCTTCTCCCAGTCCAAGTAGGCCTCCGGATCACTCCTACCTTTGAACGAAGGAATGGTCATTTTAATGTTACTCAAATTTTCATCCACCTCGTCTCCACCGAGATTCCCACCTCTCCTTTCTTACCTAACTCCTCTATTTCTACCCTTCCAAAATCTGCATCCACAATCGCATCTTCATCCATCCCACTATCAACCTCAAATTCATCAAACTCCTCCATCCTGTTGGGAATCTACTTAACGTGTACAGCAAAAATTAAAACAATTTTCGATTCCCACCAAAAATTGTCTTTGTGTTTAGATAGAAACTGTGATAAAGATAGTACCTTTTACGAGATCTGCAAACTCCTTTTCTTTTTCCTTGTTCCAGCAGCTTTGATCTGCTACCCACATATATCCAATTATCCAGCCTCCAACGGTGATCCACAGAGAGAACAAGATTGTAGTATTAGGGTTGTTCTTGTGCTAACAAGAATAATGAAAAATCTCTACAATTTTGAAAACTCTAATCTTATTTATATAAGCCTGAACGGGCTTGGCTTAACCTGGTCCAACATTTTATTAACTCATTTAATTAAATTCGGTCCGTGAATTAATTAATCCAATTAATCAATTCAGGGCTATAAATAAGCAACCCAATTATAATTTATCCAACACTTGTTAAATTAATTAATTGACAAATCACAATCTTCCAGTTCTCGTTTTGTGTGTAACCCATCAGGTTCCCGATTACGATGCCTAATGATATGAAATATTATTTTGATCTAATTAAAAATGATAAATTAAAACACCCTATTTAATTTATCACAAATTCACACTTGTCGTCCCAGATTGACATCTAACAATGTGTCAGAGCAATACGTGTGACGGGAAATGTCACGTGGTATGACAAAATCAAACTCGTTCATTTACCGTGAAACTATAATCCCTTCGTCAATATGATCCGATCAATTACGAGATATGGAAGTGTCAATCTCGATTATCAATCATATCTTTCACTCCACTATTAAGTCAATATAAGTCGAAAATTCCTTTTCGACTTATGAATACACCTTGGCCAATGATTTCGTTATCGACTTAATTGAATGAAATGCAGATCATAATCTCTTACTATCTGAAAGTGACGAATTATCTATTGATCATTCACAACCTTCATACGATTCTTGACATACCCGAACGATACTGTATTAGCGGCTCTTGGCAGAGCAACATCCAATACCGTTAAAGCATAACCGTTCTCATATAAGGTACTATAACGACCTTAAGTCAAATGACCAATCTCACTACTGAACGTTAAAAATTAACCACTGACACTTAGATAGTTATCCATGTGGAATCTCCAGCGGGTCTCCAATGTTTTGTTCTACAACAAAACATTCACGTGTTTATTTAAGTGTTACTACACTTTAGCTTGTGAGATCAGCTACTTACTTCACAAGTAAGAAATGTCACACATGATGGTCTATCCGTAATAACGATATCCGTATCTCGTTATTCCATATGACCACGAACAATTTAAGATTCAATCATATCTAATTTGTATCACAATCACAACTCCTTGTGATTAACAAATTACGAAGATTTGAATCTATGAACTCTATTATTTAATTTAATTGTATATTAATTAAATAATAGATCTATCATTAAATCACATTAATTATATATTAAAAGTATTTACGTCCAAGGTTGATTGGACTTAGGGCATAATACTTACACATCCCAGGTTCCCGTCTACCTTGTCTCCGTACATTAAGACCTCCCCTTCGTGTATTGGCAGGTAATGGATTTTGCCTTTCCCCCCGTGCATCCTGCTTATCCATTTGATCCCTCATAGCTACACATATCCGTTCAATCCTTCGCACCGAGTCCTTTAGCATGGAAACCCAATCATCAATTCTACCTGAACTCGATTCTTCCCTGTCAGACATCCTAAATCTAAGTTATTTTTCTGTCTCACAATTGTTCACTTGGAATTTCACTCAATATGGTTTTTTCCTCGATTGTTCTCACCACTCCACCTTTTACCACTCGTTGCTTTCACCAATTCCCCAAAAGAACAATTTTGGAACTCAATCAAAAATTTAATCACGTAGAATTCAAACCAATGTGAGTGAGATTACAAGGCCAAGGAATTTATAACAATTTGACTGGCAATTCAAACTAGAAGTAAAGAAATTGACTCAAAAACGCAAAACAAGAAAACAAAGTATTGACTGAAGATTTAAACTAGACACAAAATAATAAATGAACTCAAGAATTCGGTAATTCCCAAGATCAACAATAATAATAATATATTTTTTTTAAATTCGGATTTTTTTGAATTTTTTTTTACTGTATG